CTTAAATCGGGGTGTGGGCCCCCCTGTGCTGGGTGGCCTGGCTTTCCAGGTGCAGCTGCAGCTCCCGATGGCTCGGGGGGACCCGGCTGTGCCCAACTTTGGACTCGGAGCGTGTATTTCACGTACGTGCTCCGTGAGAATGATGTGCTCAGGCGCTGCCTGCTCCTGCTCATTCTTTCCTGAGATGTGCAGTATGCAAATGCCACTGTTTCTCCTCAAAATTTATTCTGAAATACCTTTTCCTTTTTTTCTTTTCTTTTTTTTTTTTTTTGCATCCTAGGTGGACTTTTCATGAGGAACACCGTTCAGGAGCACAGTGCATTTCGATTTGCTGTGCAGTTATACAACACAAACCAAAATACCACAGAAAAGCCCTTCCATTTGAACTATCATGTAGATCACTTGGACTCTTCCAACAGTTTTTCAGTGACAAATGCTTGTAAGTAAATACATGCTTTTTTAAAAGAAGTATTTGTTATCTGACCTTACATTCAGTTTCTTCCCAGTACGGTGGAGTTCTTGTTCATACAGTATAGTGCAACAAATGTGTACTGACATGAGGTTTAGTAGATTTGCAGCGTTATATGGTTGAATGATACCTTAGGGAAACTTCTCTCACTGCTTCTTTTCAGCCCTTTGGTTTTGTTTTCCAGAAAAACAACCATGTTATTTGTTTATATAGCAGCACTGTGTAGCTGTGATCAGGGGATTGCTGCTTAAGTAACATCTCTTTTCTGTGGTGGCTACAATCTATCCAAGTGAAACAGCATAATTTACAAATTATACCATGTAGGAATAAAACAGAAACAGCTGTTTACAAGTGACCTTGAGGGGACAAACCTAGAGGGGCTTACTTGCCTCTTCTGCCCTGAAATACTGGTTTGTTTTCTTCGAGTGAAAGTCCTATTAAAAGCTGAGGAGACTGTAAACTGACAAATATTGTTAGAGCTGAGGGGAGAGAAGATGGAAACAGAATGCTTAGCGTTGTGAGAAATGGCTCTGCACAAGCTGTGCATACTTATAATTTGAGCCTTTATTAACAGAAGTAAAATAGAACTTTGAGTAGTATTAATTTGGTGTTAAAATGTGAAATCTCTTTCTGAAAGGCCGGTGCGTGTTCTGCATTTGAAAAAGCATTCCTTTACCAATAGTAGCTCCTGAATGTTTGTTTTACTGATGTGTCCAAATCCAGTTTTATACAGTTTTTATTGTAAACCTTTGAAAATTCATGGAGCCTTCTTGCGAGGTAGTTGCATGCGCCTCGCAGTATGCAGAAATATGTCTCTAGGTGATCTAAAGGACCTCTGAATGCAAAGTACCAACTTTGTGTTATGAACAGGATTCCTATTGGTATACTCACAGTATAAGATGTTCAAAGAGGAAGCACTGTACTAAAATAATGAATTCTGGAGGCACAGAAAACCAGTGTATCTTGCTGTAAAGCAGTTCTGTGTTTTGAGTATCTTATATCTTTATTTTTTTGTGTGTTGGGGATAGGATAGTTCTTGTTCTTATTCCTATCCCATGCTGTATAATCAGAAGGCTGAACCAAACAGATGTGTTATTCGTCTAGGATTTCAGGTGTTTTCTGAGAACATTGATGGTTATAAGATATACAATAAGGAAATATTTGGACAAATTTTGGATTGATATTCTAACATATCCCCCATGTGACTGCTTCATGCTAGTGCAGCATTACACTTTTTCAAGGGCTTTGAATTAGGACCTTTAAAACTTTTCCGAGGGGGTTGATTATATAATACCCAATAAAAATATTTGGTAAAGTGGAAAAAAAAGATAAATAAAAGTGTGTCTGCACTTTGCATCTTATTCTACTACAGTTATCCAGCTTCAACGGCTCTTTCAACAAACATCAGACTATTAATCCTTAATCAGTGTAATCCCTTCAAGAGGCTGCATCTCAAACATAGTTTCCTAAATATCAATTATATGAATTTAAACTAAATACATTAAACTGCTTGGATGATTAATTATTAATTGTTTTTCTAAAGTTCTACCAGCACTTTTTTACAGATTCCACCAAGACAAGTGAACCACACACTGGTTCAGAGGCCATCAATGTATTATTTAGTCAGTATGCTTCTCATCTTTCGACATGTAATACTTTTTGTCATTGCTTAGTGAAAGCTGTAGTGATTTTAGTAAAATGAGATCATTTTCCATAGTATAGGGCTGCATGTTCCGACACACATATTCACAGTGTAGTAAAATTGGAAGAACTTAAATCTCTGGAGAAACTGTGGACCAGAGAATACCAACCTACAGTAACCTGTTTAAAAATAGAAGATGTGAAAAAAGAAACAGAAGAAAGAAAATGAAAAGGTGACCTTGTCCATAGCTATGCCAACCATCTGGTAATGCTGTTGGTTGGAAAAGAATATGGTGAATCCTAGTCACCAGTCATGTAAGTTGCAGGAGCTCAAAATTAAAAATAAATAAATAAATAGATGAGCACTTGTTCCTTTTGGATCTGGAAGTGATTGCCTTTGGAAATTAGCGTGCTCCTACATATTGTTGCATTAGGATGAACTGGTAGCTCCTGGCACTACCTGGCTAACACATAAAACATTCTGGCCTAAGTACCCTTAATCACATCCTTGCTTCCCAGTGGAGTGGCAGATAATTTCAGGGTGCCGCCATATCCGTGAAGGAATTCTTTCCACAACATTTTTACTTCTCTCGGAGATGAGCATAGATTGTCTCCAGTGCTGTCACAAAGCCGTTTGATCAATATTTGCAATTGGCAGGGATCCACATGAGAGAAGCCTGCAGTGACTCTGACTGCCTTCGCTGGAGAGGGAGACTGTGACGGACTTTGTGGTGGGATGGGTAAAGAAACAACTGAAGGGAAATTGGAGGAAGTAGCATGTGTAGCTGGAGCCTAGTCCCTGTACTAGTCAGCATCCGTAAAATAACACTTTTCATTCTCCTTTGCTTTGATTTATATGATAGCAGCTGTAGTGAGAATTCATGTGCAGGAACTGAGGGGGACTCTGCTCAGGAAAGACTTAGGTTCTTACTGTACAGCTGCACATCCTGTTTGGTGCAATCTGGTGCATTCCAGAGGCAGGAGGAAAAAAAAAAAATTCTTCTGAAGTATCCTCATGAGCTAGAGATACCTCTGGTAGGGCTGATTTGGCAATATCCCAACATGGTAACAAACTTGTTTAGAAGCAAAAGAAAATTTCTGCCCTAAGCCCCTCCCTCTTATTCCTTTTTCAGTTAAATGATGCATAATCTGATTTATGTATATGTATTCACTCTTCACTGCTAGCACTGAGCCCCTCTCCGTGTGTATAATTTACATGCATGTATACAGTATTCATCTACTCTGTATTTATCTGCTCACCTATTTATTTAGCTGTATGATGTCTTAGCGGAGGTGAAAATTCCAGTGTATTTAAAGGTGAATTGAAGTTTATCAGTTGGCTTGAGGGGAATTTATTACATCTTTTAAAATATGCAGCTTTTTGCCGTTGAGAAGGAAGTTAACTTGACCAGTGAATGAATAAAATCAAGTAAAACATGGCTATTTTCTTCAAAAAAGCTTGTGTAGAGAGTGAGCTGGCTTTCTGGAATAGTATGAATATAACAACACAGATGTATAAATTCATCACTGAAGCGTCTCTCTTCCTTTTCTTATAACCTCTGATGAGGATGTTAGTATCAATGTTGAATTATGCGTACGGTTCTGTAGATCGTATTCCCTAGAAATAACCCGCGTATGTCTTTCTGCTCTGCACTTGTAGTGCACTATGCTAACACGGCTCTAGCCTCTGCAGTGTCAGCTCATTAGCACACAGATCTCATATTCCCTCTCTGCACTGTCATTGCAAAAAAATGCTGTTGTACACCTTTACAGCCAACAAATGTGCACTTGCATCACATACGATTTTCAAGAAATATTCACAAAAGTCAGCTCCACCTTAGATGTAGTCCCCATGGAATTTCTCCAAAGAAAGCATTAGTTTTCATTAAAATCTGTTGATCGTGTAATGATAGTGGTGGGATGTGTTCGGGTGAAAAGGGGCTGTGATTGCAGAATCTGATTAATCTAGAGACAGATTCCCTCTCTCAGCTAAACCTACCCTATCAGCTGCAAATTCTTGTCCTGTTAGTTTTTCTAAGTAATTTCTTATATATCTTCTGAACCCAGAAGGCTTTTTATGTTTTACCAAGAGTTGGTGTGTAGCGTTTTTTCCACAGACGCTCGTTCTTTAAGAGAGCAGAAAATAAAGGGATACAATGACACGCTTACCTTAAGTTGCTAAAATCCTGTAAGGGATTGTATGAACGTTTTCTTGAAGAGTCTGATTTCAGACTTCCTTAGAGAATTTTTCTTTAGCATCCTTGCAGTCTTTGTGTTTAATCTTTAAAATTCAACTTCGCAAATTTTAGTGGAAAAGGTGCCTGTCCGTTCTTGTGAGAATGTTGCAGAAGATGGTAACATAGGGCTAGCAGCAGACATTTTTTCCAATTTAACAGATTACTCCCTTTCCCAAAGCACAGATGTGCCTATATATATATATATATGTGTGTGTGCTGATGTGCATACTCACTTGCAAACATGCACACACACATGCTTTTTCCTTGGGTGCTGCTCAGCATTTCTTTTTGCCACTGGGCAGATAATTTGCTTCCCTTGCATCTGTGTGCTCTTTGGCCAGCTGGCAGAGGACACTGATGCTGAAAGTGGTCAGCTCCCTACTGCCAAAAGCAGAAGCATGTCTTGCTGAAAGCCTTGCCAAGTTTGAGCTGTGGGCTGGTGGTTTTGTGTGAGTAGAGACCACAGGATAGATGGCTCACTCTCCTGGTAAGGAATGCACTGTGATTTTTACCAGCATTCTGTGGTAAAACACCTGGAAATGTGCTTTCTACACAACTCAATTCATTACAGATCCCTGAAAATGCCTTTTATGCTGCAGAACATGCTCACGTATTGTGTGTTACTGCTGTGTGACAAAGAAAACTAGCTGGCTTTAGTTTAGGGTTCAAAGTTTTTGCAGTAAGGGACTAGGTGGAAAGGTGAAGGGTGCACTCTAACTAAGGTTTTTTCCGTTTCATGACATAGCAGATGACTTGTTATTAAGCTGAATGTGATCTCAGTGTTAGTAGAAGGAACCATACCACTTTCAAATATGTTTTAATTATGTCTTACGTGAATTTTAAAATAAGCTGACTCTCCTTTAGCTTCTTCTCTACTGCATACATAGCATTTACATACTGCTTAGATGTTAGGGTTCCACTTAACTCACACCGTAGAGGTGGAAAAAATATATAAATGAACACTTTTTTTGAGAAACTCTGAATTCACCAACTGCATGAAGGATACAGCACTATGAACAGCGTCATTTACTTGTTAAGTTTCAGAAAGAATTTGTGCAGATGCGGAGATGGAATTGTTCACTTCTTTTATGT